CTTAATTCTACATTTCTAAACATGTAGAACAATTCCAGGGATCCTCCATATGATGTATGTGCCATATGATACTTGATGAAAGGAGAAAAAGTTGTTATAGGATCATTAAGAATCCCTTAATCCTTCAAGCTTTTTCTTCACTTTTCCTCTCTTAACCTCTTTTCTTGGACCTTGTTTCCTTGATCTTGAATTTGCAGCTATGGAGGATGGGTTTGGGAGCTTCTTTTCTCTTCTTTGATGGCCTTGGTCGAAGTACAATCATGATGAAGGAGGGGGATGGGTTCCCTTTTGTCTCATTTAGCAAATGAGTGAGAGAGGGACCTTTTTGGTGACTCAAAATCTTTCACCATCTCATCAAGTGTCCTACCAGCTCTCACTTAGTCAATTTGAGCACACAAAAACGTGGGGTGGTCCCCACTCATGTGGGAGGTCATCCCAATATGCCCCAATGTGTACACTTGGTCTCGAAAGTTGTATTTCTCAGACTGTTTTGATTATACTTTATTTTATATGACCAAATAAAATATACGTAGTATATCGTATTCCCAATAACTATGGGCCTTTAGAATGAATATACATTTCCCAATTTTAATTTAGGAGTCCCCGTAATTTGTTACGAGCTGTTATCTAATGATTACCAATACCGGTAATTGTGCCTCGTTTCACCAACCGGTCAATTTTGTGCTTTTTTCAATGACCCAACATGAATATACACCATCATATAAATATTATCTAGGCCAATATGAATATAATATGTGATCCCAGACTTATCGGGTGGTCCCCTCTCTCAGTGTGGGCCCACATGCATTTTACTAATCACAGAAATAAATAATAAAAATTTACATAACCTCGTAAATTCAATAAGCATTTCTCAAGATTTAATACATAATTTTGGTAAAAAGTAAATATATTTGGGAATGGTGTTACATAAGTACAAAATAATTTTTCAAATTCGGACGAAGCTAGTAAAGGTTGAAAATGAAGCAATGTTCAAAAAGAATTTATCATTTGTTTCGATTACCTCAATTTAGCCGGTGGAATTGATAAGAAAGTTTTGGTTGGTGTGCGGTGTGCCTCTATAACCAAAGTATGGCTATCGTTAAATTTAAATTGCTTTGAATTAGAGCTAATAATAATTCTTATTGTTTTCCAAGATGTGATCGGATTTATGATGGGATATGGCAAAGAACAGGAGATGAAGATAAATGGGAGGAAGTCCAAAATAAAATATATTGGAAAAGAAATTAGATTGTGTTATAAGCTGACGAGTATCCATTTGATAAAATAATATTCTTAACATGTCTTATATTGCGTTATTACCTAGACTTTTCACATATAAATATCTAGGTTACTACTACTTTCGTCCCGGCTTAAAGTACTCATTGAAAAATGACACGATCCCGAATATTGTTGGCCATCACTACCAATCAAATGTCCTTTCGCTGTATCATCGTATTCGTAGAAATTAAGAAGAATCATTCCCCGAACTTGCTGTTGACCTCTAACACAACGATAACATTCCAAAAGCAATCTACTTATTGATAATTTCATAAACAAATTAAATATGCTTTACAATGATGATGATTTTAAAAACATTTATTTATTTAATCATTTATTAGATCTCTAGTTCTTTCATGTAGTATGTAATAAGATGATGCTTTGTATGTATACTACGCATCCGCTTCATATTCATGTGAATTTTGCTGCTGCTGCTGAGCCGCGGCAGATGGCTGCTATGTAGAGCAGTTGAGTAACGGTGAGGATGATCAGGAAAGCTTCCATTGTCCTCTGTGTATGTTTTTTCAAAAGCGCTTATCAGTAATATCATGGAGCCATTTTATAGACAAACTATGTCTTATTTTGGCTGTGAACGGGATTCACAGACAAAAAAATGTCTTGCACAAACATGATGGACATAAAAGTGGGTATAAGGACTTATACAAACAACATTTTTGGCCAATATAAGAGCATCTCCAATGTGGAGATGGATTGCTCTCAAAGTGCATTCCACATCAGTCAATGGACTCTATTTAAAAATCACTCTCCAATGCAAAAAAATATAAGCCTAGTCAAGCTGACTTGGCAATCATAAAATAGACATGGGATCTTGTGGGAGGTCCAAATGTAGACCCTCACTCTCACCTCCATAGGTTAGTTGGCTTTTTCTTTCCTCTTTGAGCTTTCATTTAGGAAGTGTTTTTTGTTTAGCATTGGAGAGCAATTGGGATAGACCCTTTCATTTATTAGACAATTGGTCCACGATTGGGATAGACCCACTCCATTTCATTGCCACGTCTGCAGCAATGCACTCCACCCATTGGAGTTGCTCTAATATGCCATACATACATATATAAGTAGTACTCCCTCCCATTTTAGTTAGTCAATAATTATGTCTAACTTTGATCAATTATATACTCCGTATTTATATAGATAAAATATTGATAATATGAAAATATTTTTTGTTAAAAATACTATCATAAAATTGTAAAATTATTAAATTTTGCATAAATATATTAATTAAAATAATTGATCAAAATTTATCATCTTTAATTAAAAATGTCAAAGATGGCTAATTAAAATGGAACGGAGATAGTACTTAGTTTTTTAGTGCGTACCCTTCTTAAATACAAATGGATGGGTCCCATTAATAACTCGCCTCGGACCCATCATACAGATCCGGCAAATAAAATTAAAAAAAAATCCCTATAGGATTAAAGGAAAGATAAAGTTCATAAGCATGCCGGGACTACTATTATATATTTCTAGAATAGGATTCATACACTCCTATTTAGATAAATTTTAATGTGACATATTTTTTTAATAGGCCTAAATAAATTTTATTTGAGGAATAAAATATATTTAGTCCTATTTTGTGCTTTGTCTATGTTTTGATCCTATATTGAGCAATTTATAATTAAGGACCAAAAAATATCCAAAGTGCACTTATTTATTAATTCCCCAAATAGGACTTATTTAGTTTTATTAAAAGAATAAGTTGAGTAAAATTTCTCCAAATAAGAGTGAATAAGTCATATTTTGGGAAATTTATTTATCATTATATTGTTTTAATGCTATTTGGGAATTTTCTCAATAAAATTTATTTCGAGATTGGGTAAGCACATAAAAAAGCATGCAATGCCTCACGTAGTTTCTTGGACATATGCTAATTTCATATTCTTATCAGCAGCAGCTTGGTCGAATTCAAACTTAACTTAACTTAGTATAGTATTAAAACTCACCAGTTTGGCATTCCTGTTTTGGAGTTCAATCTCCTTCCAGGCAAATCTGCATGCCAAATGTGATACATTATTATCATGTGGTTGATAGGAGTATATATAACTATATGAGCTAGAGATCAAAGAAAGGTTTAATATACTATTTAGAATTGAATATATATACAGACGTACGTACCCCATGGCAAGGGCAGTAAGAGTCAAGGCAATCGCTGCCGCTGAAGTAGCTGCAGCATGATCAGTGTCACCGTTCCAGTGGTGAATGCCGACTATGATGGATGCAACTCCGAACACGCCCGCAATCAGGGAAAACACAACAAAGAATCCGGTAGCACCATTCCCCATTGAAAAACTTATCGGAGAGAATTGTGGAGGTAGATCCAATCCCGGGCCTGCACAACTTTGACTATTAATATCTTTCATTCTTTATTAGTAAAAAAATAAAAAAATTCAGATTTTGGAAATTTAAAATGAGCGGAATTTAAAAATATTTTTTGAAAATTTAATTTATTAGACATTAATAATTAATAAAACATAATTAAAGTAGAACATGGAACGGTACGTCCAATGTTGCAATAATTACTAAGATACGCTCTAAATGATCAACCCATCTAACCAATGCCTTAAACTAAAATATGATGTCAGAGCTCTTTTGTGCTCGATGAAACTAAACAATTGGAGACACGTACAAATTAAATGCTAATCATATAAAGGTACAAATAAAATCGATCTCCTCTATTCTTCTACTACTAAAACTAAGATTAATTGGCTAGGTTGACATACCTGGAGATCGATGTTTAGTAGCTAGTAAAAGAGCTAGTCAGTTCACATGCCCTGCTTTTAATAACGCCCCTGACCTAGTGTTAATTATTACTACGTAGGATGTAATACGAATATATTACTATCTCCGTTTCACATTATTGAAAAAATGAGTTTATGTTGTAGATTGATATTGAATTCATAGAGTAAGAATGAATCAGGATCACACAAATTTTATTTTAGTCGTCAGATCGAAAAAGAAAGATGAAACAATATTAACATTTAACACGGACGGAAGTAGTCCAGTAGATTCAATTCTTGCGTACCGATAAAGAAGCCTTCGACGATAGCTTTGTTAGTAGCCCAGGCAGCAATGGCCAAGACGATAGCATACATACAGAAATTGAGCGGCAAGAGCATTGACGCTACAGCTTTAGTCATTGCGTGTGGGATGGATATATGGTTTAAGGCCTTGGGGGGCTTTTGTCTATTTATAACGTACCTCGTACCAATACTTCACTAGGGTGCCATATCTTCGTATCGGAAACGTTTCCGTATCCGATAATCTAGGATATCCATACCCAGTGGCGGATTTGGAACTAAGATTTCAAGTGTTCAATTTTATACAAATTAAAATTTAAAGAAGAATAAATACAATTACACTAAATTGACACATGTATACTACTATGTTTTTAAAAAATTTGGGTGTTCTTGTGGAGTTTGGATCCTCTCCAGTAACTGGATACTTCCAGTTGGAGAGAGATAGAGAGGAGGGAAATTATTGTGGGGTATGTTGATGAGTAAGATAGAGAAAAAGGTAGTGATAGATAGGAAGAAAAAAGGAAATGGAGGGGAAATGGAGAGAAAAAAATGGAGAGGAGTTGGACTCGTTCTTGTGCACACTTTGGAACAAAGGAGCTCCGCCACTGCCCGTATCGTACGTTCCCGGGCCATATCTATAACTTTTAAAAGTTTCCAATTTTTTGGGGGGTTATTATTTAAAAATTTCGGACAATCGTATCTTGACGGATACACGTATCAACTTTAAAAAAACGTACCCAAAATTTACCTAACAAAATTCTTGAAAAATGAAAAACTAAAAAAAAAATTATGTGGTCACCTCTAATGGGCCTATCCCTAATTCATTCATCTGTAATTTACTCATCCGGTCTATCCCTAATTCACTTATGTAAGGAGCGAGCAAACGGCAGGCAGAACAAGCAAGCAACACAGCGAGCAAGCATCACACCGAGCAAGTCATATGCGAATCAATAATTCACTTAAGTATTTTCTACTCTTTATCTTTTGTTTTATGTCTTCATTGCGCAAGAACTTTGAATACTTGTACTTTTAATTTCAAAATTGTGGTTGTTTCACTTGTTTCTTATTTTAAATTAATGACTAATTGATTATATTTATATTTTGCGATATACTAGTGTATATGAGATAAAAGATGAATTTATTTCTAAGTATCTTGATAACGTAAAATGCTTCAATGCTTATATATATATTTTCAAAAAACAATTGTAATTTTTAATATTTATAAATACACCCCATAACTTTTAATATTTGTAAATACAATCCATATATGTATCCTAGTTTTGTTGGTTTTGTCGTATCCCCGTACCGTTTTCGCGTACCCGTACCGTATGGGTGCTACATAGTTTATAACTAAATAAACATCCCTGCGCGCGCAGCCACGTGGTTGACATGTTTTAGGTTCTTTTCTTTGTGAACCTAGCCAGCCAGCTAGCTTGCTTGCTTCCTCGTCGCATTAGATTCTTGCCGGCCAGCTGATCAGCTGTCTGATGAATGGCCGCCCTGTCCTCTCACATTCTTTAATTTGATTACCTTTTTCTATTTTCATTGCTCATTCTCGATGGAAATGGAGAGCGGAGACATCCCCGATTAGCTGGTTCTTGTCCACTCTCAACCAACTTAATTATTAACTACTCCATGAACGACGATACATTTGGAAAATTAGCAATGGCGCGCTAATAATCACATTTAAATGGTCAGTTGGATTATGTATGGTTCAAGTACCATTTGGATCCAATCCAAATACAAGTAGGCTGTTTGTTGGAACTTTTTATAGAGTCCAATCTATTGTGAGATAATAAACAGACTTGACCATACTGGTAGCTCTGAGAGTATATTTATAGGTAATAAGTGTCCAAGTAATAAAGAAACTGACTAATAATTAATTCTAATTACTTCACTATTACACCCCTCAATCTATGCAGGACGAACTACGCGTAGATTGTCTCGTAAAAACAAAAACTGTTGAGGAGCCAAACTCTTGGTGAAGATGTCAGCCAGCTGAAACTTCGTAGGAACATATTGCACCAGGAGATCACCATGAGTCACACGCTCACGAACAAAATGATATCAATGTCAAGGTGCTTACTGCAAGCATGTTGGATGGGATTGGCTCATAAATATGAAGCAGATACATTATCACATAGCAAACAAACCGGGGGTGAAAGAGGGAAACCGAGCTCAAACAAAAGGGACCGAATGTGTAATGTATCCTGAACTGTGTATGCAATGGCTCTATACTCAGCCTCAGTAGATGAGTGAGAGACATTAGGCAGTTTCTTGGATTGCCAGGAAATCAAATTAGGACCAAGAAAAATAGCATAGCCAGACGTGGAACAACTACTATAAGGACAACCAGCCCAATCATCATCGGAGTATGCCAGAACCGAGTGTGGGTGTGGCGACGGTTGAAGATGTAAACCATGGGTTTTAGTGCCCTGTAGGTACCTGAAAATTCTCTTAACAACCAACATATGTGAGGTACGGGGAGCATGCATAAATTGAGACACCAAGTGAAGAACATATGTAATATCAGGTCTAGTCATAGTTAAATACTGCAATACGCCTACCATGCTACGATACTCAGTAGGATCAGCAAGTAACTCAACATCCGTGAGAGGTAGATTGGTTCTAGTAGGTAAATGCGTGCGAACAGATTTAAGAGTATGAAGATGAAAACGATGAGAAGATCTGACACATATTTGGCCTGAGACAAAAATAAACCAGAAGAATTGCGCAATGCCTGAACCCCCAAGAAAAATGAATATCCCCTAAATCTTTCATAGCAAAATATTTCCGTAGAAGAGAAATAAAATTACTAATGAGAGTAGAGGAACTGCCATTAATAATAATGTCATCCACATATAAGAGCAAATAAATATGTGTAGCCTGATGAAAAATAAACAAGGAATTATCAGCACAACTACAAACAAATCCATGAGTGAGAAGAAAACTACTGAAACGGTGAAACCATGCCCGGGGAGCCTGTTTGAGACCATAAATGGCCTTGCGCAAGCGACAAATATGATTAGGAAATTGAGGATGAACAAACACGGGTGGTTGATGCATGTAAACCTCTTCTGTGAGATGATCATGAAGAAATGCATTTTTAACATCTAACTGACGAGTAGGCCATTTAAAGGAAACAACTAATGTAAGAACAATGCGAACAGTGATGAGTTTAACAACAAGACTAAAAGTTTTAGAAAAATCCACCCCAACTTGCTGTTTAAACCCTTGGGCAACCAGACGTGCTTTATGACGTTCAATAGAACCATCAGACCGATACTTAGTTTTATAAATCCATTTAGACCCAACCAAATTTTTGCTAGAGTCAAACGGCACTAGGTCCCAAGTTTTATTAGTGATAAGTGCATTAAATTCCTCAGCCATAGCCGCTCTCCATTTAATATCTTTATTAACCATAGAAAAACAAGTTGGATCGGGAACCAAAACCGCAGTGTTTAGATTAAAAATAGTTTTGGACTTAAAAATCGTGATTTAGAGCATGTTTTCATGGGATGTATATTTTCATGTAGTGAATTACCAGAACTCAGAACATCAGCCACCACCCCACCGACCGAGGCTACTGAATCCAACGAGCCAGAGCGAGCTGGTGAATCAGGAGTCGGAGAACCACGGCTAGAGTGGATGTCCGTACTGGAGGACAACAGAGAAACAGGCGGCTGGAGTGTCGTGTGATATGTCGGCGATGAGCTAGATGGCGGTGGTGGTAAACACAAATCCAAGGAAAAATCCACCGGGGTCATAGGCGAGCCAGTAGCAGCGGAGGACTCAGAAGAAGATCGGGAAAACGATGGTGGGTGCGGCTGGACGGTGGTGGACTCGGAGGAAAGAGGAGACACTAACTGGGAGTATGGAAAAATATTTTCATGAAACCTCACATTGCGACTAATATAAATTCTACCAGTTTTCGGATCCGGACAACGATATTGATGGATAGTGTACCCGGGGGTAGCTTATCCGAGGGGTTATTACGGAGAGTAATAAGAGATAAGTCAGAGCAAGTAAATATAGAGAGAGAAAGTATATTATAAAGTGTGGAGCGTTTTCAGCGTGGTTACAAATGGGGAAATGGGGTGCTATTTATAGTAGCAATAAATGCCGGACAGGGACACGTGTCAAGCGCCCATTGGCCGAGAGGTCACCTCAACTGGTTGGCGCTGGCAGCCGCATGTGGCCGCATTTAATGCGACTGTTGGATGGGACGTTTGTACAGGGTACGGTGATCTGTACACATGTGGTGCGGATATCATGTCGGGAAAGGTGCCCTCGGCTGTAGAGGACTAACCGAGGGCTCTGAGTACTGGGGACCCTCTTGGTGCCGAGGGCTCCAGGTGCCGAGGGCTAGTGATTTTCGCCGTTTTCCCTAGTCATCTTGTTTTCCTGTTTTGGCCCTCCTGTGGGAGTAAGAGCCCTCGGCCAGGGGGCCGAAGGCGCCCCTGGTGCGCATTGTGGGCTGCTTGGTGCTCTGGGCGCTGTGATTTGGGCCTGTTGGGCCTTCTGGGCCTGTTTGGAGTAGTAGGAGTCTGTGGGCCGGGGGTTCCCAGGCCATATACTCCATCAGGAGTCCCTCACTCCTTTTGTCGAAAGGTACTTGAGGGAAAAGGAGTAATTGTGCTTGTCCTCTGCCGTTGTTTCGTTTGTAGTTCGTAGAGTCGTGGGTAGTTTGCTGTTTGTTTATTCTGCCGAGGGTAGCCCCTCAGTTACCCACATGTCGGGACTTGAGGGGTCATGTTTGTAATTTTTGTGATTTTTCCCGAGGGGGTCCTCCAGTCCCCCACTCCTTGAGGCACTTGCAAAGTGGTGAAAAGGAGTGAAGTAGTTGCGTTGCCGTTGCGGGCCGAAGGCTGACGCTTTTCGTTTCATTTTGGGGGGATGCCTCGTTAAAAACCTCATTAGGAAAAACCCTGTGGGAAAAAATCCTAATGAGGGAAAAAGAGTGCACCGAATTCCCCCAACGATGAATCGAAAATGCGAAACCTTGGTCCAACATGGAGAATAACGGTAAAGCCGAAGGCTCCCCTTGTTCTGAGGGCTCATGTGTTGAGTAGCCGGAGGCTTGTCGTTGATGTCATGGGAGGTGCCGAAGGGGAGCCCCTCAATCTGGGGATCGAGGGCGTGATGGATGAGGGCAGTAGTTGAATTGTTACCGGGGTGTCCCCTGCTTGTTGATTAGTTGGTGATGAGGATATCCGAGGGCTCCCATTACCTGTGTGCCGTAGGCTATCCGTCAATGAGGCATACTCCCTGGGGGCTGCCCGGCCCTTACAGTGCTGAGGGGGAATCCCCGAGGGGTGGCCTGATATGAAGCCTTGGGCTTCTGAAGGAATGATCCAGAAGGCGACTGTTATGTACTGTGTGGGGCACAACCCGGGGGCATCTCTGGGTAAGTGTACCCGGAGGCTCTCCTTGATGAAGTGGAGTGAAGTAAGAAAATCCGGGGGCTCCCAGAATATAGTCTTTGGAAATATAGCCGTTGGAATATGTAACGTCAGGATATAGCCGTTGGGGGGGGGGGGGGGTACACGTGGCGCGTGGTGGTTGGCTGTCCGTGGGCGGCGTCACCGGTTGGGCGAAGACACGGCGTGTAATGATGACAGTCCATCCGGAGGCCCGGTTTCCAGGCCCAAGCCCGGATTCCAGCGCCTATAAATACCCATGGTCGGGCTTCCTTCCCCTTGTGCGAAATCCTTATAGCGAAGCTCTGCCAAATTTTCTAGAGAGAGAAACAACAGCCCTCGATCAGATTCTAAGGTCAGTTCTCCATTCACACTTCACCTCTTAGCTAGCTGTCTTTGTTGTAATACCCGAGATTAATTTAAGAGGATTAATAGTACTACTCATACCAACAGAGGTGCATCTCCTTTTAAGGGAGCTCATCACCCAAGAACTCCAAAGTTAAGCGTGCTTGCACGAGAGTAGTCTTGGGATGGGTGACCCCCTGGGAAGTTTCTCAGGGCGCGCATGAGTGAGGACAAAGTGCGCGGTAAAGGCTCGTGGTGGTTTGTGGGGACAGTACTAGAGGTCTAGAGTAACTACCTCGGATCCGTGTGGGGCCCCGGGGTGTTACAGGTGGTATCAGAGCAACCCTGCGACAGTGTGTTGACCCGTTGGATATCGGGCAGGGCACTTAGCGGGGCAAGATTCTGGGGTTCGATTCAGATTGTTAAGGGCGCAACGAGGACGTTGCTATCCTAAGTGGGGGTGATTGTAATACCCGAGATTAATTTAAGAGGATTAATAGTACTACTCATACCAACAGAGGTGCATCTCCTTTTAAGGGAGCTCATCACCCAAGAATTCCAAAGTTAAGCGTGCTTGCACGAGAGTAGTCTTGGGATGGGTGACCCCCTGGGAAGTTTCTCAGGGCGCACATGAGTGAGGACAAAGTGCGCGGTAAAGGCTCGTGGTGGTTTGTGGGGACAGTACTAGAGGTCTAGAGTAACTACCTCGGGTCCGTGTGGGGCCCCGGGGTGTTACATTTGTGGCCTTAGATCAGGTGGGTAGCTTAGAGTACTTAGCGTCTCCAAACCCTCGACGTAGTATAGCAATGTCTTCACAGAGTGATTCTCAAGACATCTCGGGGGAGCCCTCGATGGAGGATGAAGTCCTCTCGAATGTGGAGTCCTCAAACGAACAGTCCTCGGCCCAGGAGGATGTTGCGATGGCAGTAGAAGTGCAGAAGGAGCTGTTGGCTGAAGTTGAAGCCGAGGGCTTCGAGCAGGAGGTGGAAGACGAAGAGCTGGCCTTCGCCATGCAGGTTGCAGAGGAAGAGGAAGCAAAGGAGATGTAAGGAATAAATGTATTTAGATTTTGATGATGCTAGGTTAATTAGAATTTGAGAGTACTTAGCGTCTCCAAACCCTCGACGTAGTATAACAATGTCTTCACAGAGTGATTCTCAAGACATCTCGGGGGCGCCCTCGATGGAGGATGAAGTCCTCTCGAATGTGGAGTACTCAAACGAACAGTCCTCGGCCCAGGAGGATGTTGCGATGGCAGTAGAAGTGCAGAAGGAGCTGTTGGCTGAAGTTGAAGCCGAGGGCTTCGAGCAGGAGGTGGAAGATGAAGAGCTGGCCTTCGCCATGCCGGTTGCAGAGGAAGAGGAAGCAAAGGAGATGTAAGGAATAAATGTATTTAGATTTTGATGATGCTAGGTTAATTAGAATTTGAAAGTACCCCTTTAGAAATTTTGTATTAGAATTTCTTTTGTAAGTTTTAGCTTAGTCTGTCTGCCAGAGAACCACCTTGCTTCTACCAGAGTTGCTCCCAGAGTTGCTCACTAGAGAAGCCATCAGAAACTGGTCATCAGTGTTGATACCAGAGTTGGCAACAAAGGCGGACTTCAAAGATTGAACCAGAGAGCCTCATAAGACTTTGCCTAACACACCAGATTCCGAAAGCATTGACCAACGATCGTTAAACTAACGGGAAATCCCCTAACGGTTACGAACCTTTTAACGGAAACATGGTACTGTACACACATTAAATGCACATTTAATGCTGTACGTACGAAGAGATATTTAAAGCTGATGATTGACCATGTGAGTATCTTTACGCCCCCAAAATAGCAAGTCGAAGGTCCAACCGGTCAAGTCAACAGTACAAGCATTTAATGAAGCTGTCTTCTACACTCCAACGGGAAGTGACGTGCACTCGTCGTTAGGTGCACTCAAAATAAATAATCAATACAACACTGATACGTAGTATAGTGTAGTAAGGTTCGTATCCACAGGGAAAGGAATACTTTTCTTTTATATAAATAATAACAAGGGGGGTTTAGATTTGCTTGGTTTAATAACACTAAGATAAACGACCTATATGAGTTTAATTCAATGAGATGGGGACTTGGTTTTGCTTTTATCCACTTAATGAAATGTTCGTCGATCCCGGTTATATCTTTAACTATCTTCCTCTCGAATACTCAATCGAGGAGTATATCCAGTTCATCGAGGGTAGTTATTAATAACGAGATGCGTTCATTAATAAAACTTACTATCGAGTCAATATAGAACAAGCGCCGTATATTAACTTGATAGTAGCAATAAACTTAAGATGAAAACGATTGAGATTAATAACCTCAACACAAGCGGTTTATTGGTTTAATCAATATAATTAATTCCCCTTGGCATATTAACCATGAGATGCATGCATTAATATTCCAAGTTTACTACCGTTGAAAGAACCGGATTAATAACAAGCGTATTAACCGATTGATTCTAGTAATAATTAATATGAGAAACAATACTAGTTGATACTTTAAGTAATGTTTAAGATATTAACATGAAATATGAATAGGAATTAATCAATACTCAAGGAAGAATATTAAAATATATGAATCCTACTATGATTAATATCAAGATGTTAACTAATTGTCATCTTAGCAACACTCCCCAATATAATCATAGAGGAAGAAATAGTTATTACTATAACCAATGTCAAGATGTTAACTAATTGTCATCTTAGTAACACTCCCCAACTTTGATATAGAGATAGTATTTTGAAAGAAAGAATTAATATTCAAGGAAGAAGATTAAAGAAAATAACTCACAACTTACAAATTCATTAAGCTTCAAAGTAGCAAAACCAAGATGGAAGAGTTTAGCTCCTCATTTGGAGACTAAACATGATGAAAAATATAAAGAAAGAGCTATTCTATACTGAGCTTAGATGTACAAGGGATTGGATATCTTTTTGTGAAGGAAAGGAGGTGTATTTATAGGTTTTTGGGATGGGATTCGGGTACTCGATCGGGTATATACATGGTACCCGATCGAGTATGTGTGTAACACCCGATCCGAGGCATACTCGACCGGTTTCGGGCTATTTTCTAAGTGTATACCCGATCGAGTATATATGAATACCCGGTCGAGTATGCTTAGAAAGTGGTATTCGGGCTATACTCGACCGGTTTCAGGCTAGTTTCTAAGTGTATACCCGATCGAGTATATATGAATACCCGGTCGAGTATGCTTAGAAAGTGGTATTCGGGCTATACTCGACCGATCTTCGTTTGCAATTTAAAGGCATACCCGATCGGGTATGTCGGTCTACCCGATCGGGTATAGACATAGAATCGTGGCCAAAATCTTCCCTGCATGTTCCTTTGTCTTCGGATCTGATCCGATTTGAAGTTCCAACCTAATACCCGATCGAGTATAGCTAATACTCGACCGAGTATAGACCAAAATTCAGGATCTTCCTTTGTCTTTGAACTTTTGCACCTTCTCTTCACTTTTTGGGTTCACCAACTGTACTTTGGGTGACCAAAACCTGTTTAAGATCAGAATATATCTAATCTAACCTATTTACAAGAATTTAACAATCTAATCTATTACACCAAAAGTGTGTAATTTCCAAAGTAAAAGTCAAGCAAAATTAATTAAAAACATAAACATAGAAATGGAAATTACGAACGTATCAACTCCCCCACACTTAAACCTTTACTCGTCTCGAGTAAGATCAAATGTTTACAAGTGTCAATGATTGTCCAAAAGTTCCACAGTTCAACAAAAATATAATACAAACACAAAGACCACCAAGGATTACAAAGAAAAATGAGTTTTAAACTCAAATTACAAAAGAGCATCTTGGGTTTAATGGCCTCCTAGTGTTGTCTTCTTTTCTCCTCCTCTCTTCTTCTTTATCTTGAATCTTCATATTCTTCATAAGGATACAATGAGTGCCTGCAAGAAAAAACATTTCTCTCATATCTCTCATTTTGCCTAGGAGCCTTTTCAGGTTTTCATCCTAGCACCTCTTTTCATTTTCCATTCTCTCCAACTCACTCATTTTTTTTATAAGCCTTTTTTTGCTTAGATTGTCCATTTTGTTGGGTTTTCAACCTAACTAGCATTTATTTTCTTTTGTTTATATTTTTTTTTCTTTAAATTTTTTTTTTGTGTGTAAAAGTTCAAAAGAATTACATGCATAGTGCTAGGTACAAATGAGAATTACATACCATCATGAGTGTCTCCCCCGCACTTGAATCACGCACTGTCCCTAGTGCCCGCCTTCTCCTCCGTAGTAGCTCCCTCCAAAGCCGCTCCTTTGGCCACCATCTCCCATGTAAGTGTCCCCGCCATCTCCGCCGTCGTACCCTCCACCACCGGAGCCAGATCCTCCAAAGTTACCCCAATGAGTGGGGTCATACCATGAGGGTGGTGGAGGAGGGTTCGCCATGGTATGGAAGGATCCCTGCTGTGCCATAAACGAGTACATAGGCCCGTAGAACCTATGTTGGTCTTCCTCATACCGGTGTCTATCGGCCTCCCGGAGCTCCTCCAAACGTTGAAAGCCGGCCCTTTGCTCATCCTCCAATCTTTGAAAACTGGCTCTTTGCTCTTCCTCTAATCGGTTGAGCCGGTTGTCCATTTGAGCTATTCCCGTAAGAAGTTGTTGTTGACCCTCCAGAAGTTGTTGAAAGAAGTCGGGTGGTGGAGGGTTTTGGCTTTGTTCTGGGAAATCATGGCTCATGGTTGGATGGCTATGGAGTTGCTCGTAGGGCTCGTCATCGGGTTGGTTTTGGGGGAGTTCCTGTTCCGGTTCTTGAAGATGTGGTGGGAGGGCGTTTGGGAAGAGGTAATGTTGATCCGGCCTGCCTGTTTTGAAGTGGAGTTGGGGGAGTTCTGGGTTGGGCAAGAGGAAGTATTTGAGGGGTTTGGGGTGGATGTGCCAGTTGTACATATTTTTGGGCCTTTCTTCACCATAAACGGTGTGTGAAAAAGAAGTACAGCCCGAGTGGCCTAGCCAAGATATGTTCATTAAACAGTAGTCGGGTATAGGAGAGTCATCCGTATACCCGAACTTTGTGGCCAAGTGCATAATCACCCCGCCCACTACGATAGCACCCTTTGCCACACTTTCCTTCTTTAGATGAGCCCACATGAGATTACAGAGGTTGAAATCCACGTGGATACGGAATAAGGCAACCGAGATGAGGCATACATCCCCCATCCTTGTATGATGGTTGTTGGGACGTCCAAGCAAGGAGTTGGCAAGGAATTTCAAAAAGAGGCGTAAGACTGGATGTTGGACATGACTAATGTATAGTTGGGAGGAGCTAAATTTGGTCTCCCCGGTCATCTTGGTCCATAGGGTGTGGCCGAAGGCGGTATTGTCGGATATAGACTTTTGGTACGGGACCGGAATACCAAAGTGTTCGGCAAACTCAAGTTTCGTGATGGTGTGATTGTGATTAAACAATCGAAACCTGAGTTTATCATCTCTAAAGTCCTCCTCATTGTTCTCAAAGTGCACCGAGCTTAGGAATTCATAGATAATTTTTTCATTTGAGTTGTATTTCATTTTGAAAATTTTATCCATATGCAACTCATGAAAAAATTTCTTCATTATTGTGTATACTCCTAATTCCTTTAGAGCATCAAGGCATAAAAAGCGGGAAGGTTTGACTTGCCTTTCAATTGTGGACAAGAAGCGTGTGCGTTGTTCGTTGTCCACGAAAAGGATGTCCTCGTAGCCCGGGATGATTGTCCTAGTGCTTGAGCTCTGCCCTTTCTCTTTCCTTGGAGCCATTTGAAGTGATTTTGGCCTTTGAAAACCGAAATTGGAATGGTGGGGGTAGGGTTTTTCGGACCTCTGAAAGTTGGGGGAGAATGGGATTGTTGGGTATGAATGTGTAGAGGAGGATGAGGGGAGTGTTTTGGCGTTGGAATGGGTGGATTTGGTGAAGATTTGGAAGAGATATGGTAGAGAGAACGTGTAAAAATGGGGTTTGGGCGTTTTTTGTTCGAGATAGGGTTGGGAATTTGGGGAAGATGAAGTGTTTTGGGGTTGATTCGGGGTTATAAGACCCGTATACCCGATCGAGTATGTGCTGGTACTCGGTCGGGTATGGCTGGAAAGTGAAGTTTTTGAGCGGCCTGCCTCCTGTACTCGATCGGGTATGGTGGGGTTACCCGGTCGAGTATGCTTAGAAAATGAACTTTTTGAGCAGCCTGTCTCCTGTACCCGGTCGAGTATTCCTCCATACTCGATCGGGTATGTGCTTTTTTTCCATTTTTGAAGCGTGTACTCGGTCGAGTGTGGGAGTCAGTCCCCTTCAATTTTAGCATTTCTAGCAATACCCGACCGGGTGTATAGTGATACCCGATCGGGTATTGCTTATTTTTCAAATTTTGAATGCTCCCTCGATCGAGTAGTGCCCGGTCCCTTTTCTTTTTACTTATACCCGACCGAGTATAAGGTTATACTCGATCGGGTATGTCCCCAGATGTTCTAAAACCTGCATTTTTTTTTTCTTCCAAAAACCCATGATTAGTGCCCTCCCTCACTGATCTCTCAAATAATTAGAGAAAAAAAAATGAATTCTAAATACTTGAATTAAATATAAAAAAAATGAATTAAACACACTTAAATAAATAAAAAAAATTAAGATAAATGAATTAAAAATGCATTTTTTTCATTTTTTTTTTTCATTTTTTTTTAAAAATGTTTAACACACACACAAGTTAAATGAAAATTGATAAAAACAAAAACTTGGGTTGCCTCCCAAGAAGCGCCTTATTTAACGTCGCGGCACGACGCTATCATTGTTTTCAGTCATTCAAACTTGGATCATGATAGTTTATTTTCTTCACATTTTCACTCTTAGGACTTCCACAGGAGTGCTCAATTTCTCGACTCTCCACTTTGGAATTTTTTCCAGGATCAAATATCCAGATTTTCATTGATTCGTGTGGTGGGAGGAATGGGAAGAAATTATCCTTTAGTATGGTCAACAAAAAGTTTTTCGGCTCCTCAATTTTGAAGAATATTTCAGAAGTGTCATTGTCTTTTTCAAGTTTATGAGTTTTCCTCAAAATTTTCAGAATTGATGGGGGTACCTCAAAAGATGACAAGGATAGATATTTAACCTTGAAGCTCAGATTATCCTCTTCTTTGACCAGTTGGAGTTTTGTGTCCTTTTCTTCCTCTACTTCTTCTGGATTCTGGATCTCTTTTTGCATTTCCTCTTCATTTTTCAATGTGATTGCAAAAGTTTGCTGTCTAGGATCACATTCTATTTGAGAGGAAAGTTTTACCGGATCCCTTGCTTCAAGCCTACTCACGACTCCGGCTATTTGACTTACTTGAGATTCCAAGCTCAAAATGCTAGTCTTGGTCTCATTTTGGAATTGCACCATGTTTTGTTGCATGGTGGTTACGCTGTTAGCAAGAGCCCGAACCATGTCCTCCGTGGACATATTAGATTCGGAGAATGGATCATATCTCATGTGAGGTACATCATCAATCTTGGCATCTTGAGCTTTTGAGTTAAAGATAGATTCCTTTATTAGAGAAGTCAAGAAGGAAATTTGACTCTCTAAGGATGAAGTGTTGGTATCCATATACTCATAACTCATGTAAGCTCAGAAAATAGAAGAGCAAGATTTTTTTTTTTTTTTTAAAATATATCTTTTTTTTCTTGATATGAAAATAAAAGAAAAATTAATTGCCTTTCCCCGGCAACGGCGCCAAATTTGACGTGCACTCGTCGTTAGGTGCACTCAAAATAAATAATCAATACAACACTGATACGTAGTATAGTGTAGTAAGGTTCGTATCCACAGGGAAAGGAATACTTTTCTTTTATATAAATAATAACAAGGGGGGTTTAGATTTGCTTGGTTTAATAACACTAAGATAAATGACCTATATGAGTTTAATTCAATGAGATGGGGACTTGGTTTTGCTTTTATCCACTTAATGAAATGTTCGTCGATCCCGGTTATATCTTTAACTATCTTCCTCTCGAATACTCAATCGAGGAGTATATCCAGTTCATCGAGGGTAGTTATTAATAACGAGATGCGTTCATTAATAAAACTTACTATCGAGTCAATATAGAACAAACGCCGTATATTAACTTGATAGTAGCAATAAACTTAAGATGAAAACGATTGAGATTAATAACCTCAACACAAGCGGTGTATTGGTTTAATCAATATAATTAATTCCCCTTGGCATATTAACCATGAGATGCATGCATTAATATTCCAAGTTTACTACCGTTGAAAGAACCGGATTAATAACAAGCGTATTAACCGATTGATTCTAGTAATAATTAATATGAGAAACAATACTAGTTGATACTTTAAGTAATGTTTAAGATATTAACATGAAATATGAATAGGAATTAATCTATACTCAAGGAAGAATATTAAAATATATGAATCCTACTATGATTAATATCAAGATGTTAACTAATTGTCATCTTAGCAACACTCCCCAATTGACATTTATTGATGCCCCTAAATCTAACAAGGCCTTAGGAAATGTGGTGTCTCCTATTTTGCAAGGGATAGTGAACATGCCTGGGTCGTTACATTTTTCGGGGAGTTTCCTCTGAAAAATGGCCGAGACGTGTTCACTAACTCTAACCTCTTGTTTCCCTTTCAATTTATCTTTTCTTTTTGTTTTGCATAATTCTTTTAAGAATTTAGCAAAACGGGGGACATTTTTCATGAAGTTAAGAAGCGGAATGTTTACCTCACACTTTGCGAAGGTTTCATAGATGTCGGCGTCTTTTTCTAGCTTCTTTGTCTCTTTCAACGCCTCAGGGAACGGGATTTCTTGTTCATATGATGAGGGTGGGGGAAGCTTGGTTCCTGTGTTTTCCTCCTCCGGTGGGACTATTTTTTCGGGGTCCACACCCTCAGTCTCTTCATCGTTCTCTTCTGCCTCTTTCAACGTTGCACCACTTCTCAACGTTATAGCATTCACATGTTGTCTCGGATTTTGCTCCGTTTGAGATGGGAGTTTACCCGAGTCTTTTGTTTCAAGTCGGTTCACGGCATTTGCAATTTGACTGACTTGGTTTTCCAAATTCTGAATGCTGGATTTGGTCTCATGCTGAAATTGAACCATGTTTTGTTGCATGGTTGAGACATTTGAGGTGAGAGCTCGGATCATGTCCTCGGTGGACATACTTGAGCTTGACGTCTGGCCTTGGTGCTTTGGGAAAGTTGGTGGCAATGACTGATTTTGAGGATTCCCATACCTCAAATTCGGGTGATCTCTCCACCCAGGATTGTAGGAGTTAGAGTGTGGATCATACCTCTTTTGACCTTGAAATCCCAAAGCATTGACTTGCTCGGAATTCTCCTCTTGTAGTGTTGGGCAGGAATCAGTGGGGTGCCCCTGTGTCGAGCATATGCCGCAGACCTTGACTTCTTGGTGTTTTGGATTTAAAAGGAAATCCTTTACCAAAGAAGTCAAGCCGGCCACTTGACTTTCCAACGAGATGTTGGATTCCGCTGCCATGACCCGTTTTGATGATGACCTCCCATTGTAGTGCCTAGAATTCTCGGCCAACTCCGAGATGAGGTTCCTAGCTTGGGAAGGGGTTTTGTTGACAATTCCCCCTCCAGATGCTGTGTTCACCAGGCGTCTATCTTGCTCCGCAAGACCGTCATAGAAGTAGAGGATGAGGTCTTGCTCTGTATAACCGTGATATGGGCAGCTAGCGCACAACTTTTTGAAACGCTCCCAATACTCATATAATGTCTCATCATCTTTTTGTTCGATGTTGCTTATTTGTTTTTTCAAGGATGATGAGACAGATGCAGGGTAGTACCTTTCGAGGAAGCATTTTTTCATTGACGCCCATGTATCTATACTCCCTGACGGGAGATAGAATAGCCAATCCTTCGCCGTGTCTTTGAGGGAGAATGGAAAAGCCCTCAATTTGATTTGTTCCTCGGTGACTCCATTGGGGCACATGCTTGTGCAGACAATATGGAATTCCGAGAGATGTTTGTTGGGGTCCTCCCCCCTTAGGCCATGAAAGGATGGCAGTAGATGTATGAGCCCAGATTTTAGCTCAAATGTATTACCTTCATCGAGTGTAGGGAAGGTAATACATAACGGTTGTTGATTGAGATTTGGAGCAGTGAGCTCCCGTAGTGTTCTTGTCTCAAGAGCCATGGTTATTGACTCTTCGGTCTCGCTAGAATAAGAACTAGCGCTGGATGAATCTCTGATAGATGATTCCTCTGAGTCGGTATTAGAAAATTTACTTTTCAACCGCTCGAAAGTTTGTTCTATTTCTGGGTTTGTTTGATATATGATTTTGTTTATGGAGCGATGTTTAACCATAAACTCCACTAAGCTCAGAAATAGAAGAAATAAGAACTCTTTATATATTTTTTTTTGATTTTTTCTTGAAATGAGATAAAAGAAAAATTAATTGCCTTTCCCCGGCAACGGCGCCAAATTTGACGTGCACTCGTCGTTAGGTGCACTCAAATTAAAGTGGAGGTGTATTTTGAAAGAAAGAATTAATATTCAAGGGAGAAGATTAAAGAAAATAACTCACAACTTACAAATTCATTAAGCTTCAAAGTAGCAAAACCAAGATGGAAGAGTTTAGCTCCTCATTTGGAGACTAAACATGATGAAAAATATAAAGAAAGAGCTATTCTATACTGAGCTTAGATGTACAAGGGATTGGATATCTTTTTGTGAAGGAAAGGAGGTGTATTTATAGGTTTTTGGGATGGGATTCGGGTACTCGATCGGGTATATACATGGTACCCGATCGAGTATGTGTGTAACACCCGATCCGAGGCATACTCGACCGGTTTCGGGCTATTTTCTAAGTGTATACCCGATCGAGTATATATGAATACCCGGTCGAGTATGCTTAGAAAGTGGTATTCGGGCTATACTCGACCGGTTTCAGGCTAGTTTCTAAGTGTATACCCGATCGAGTATATATGAATACCCGGTCGAGTATGCTTAGAAAGTGGTATTCGGGCTATACTCGACCGATCTTCGTTTGCAATTTAAAGGCATACCCGATCGGGTATGTCGGTCTACCCGATCGGGTATAGACATAGAATCGTGGCCAAAATCTTCCCTGCATGTTCCTTTGTCTTCGGATCTGATCCGATTTGAAGTTCCAACCTAATACCCGATCGAGTATAGCTAATACTTGACCGAGTATAGACCAAAATTCAGGATCTTCCTTTGTCTTTGAACTTTTGCACCTTCTCTTCACTTTTTGGGTTCACCAACTGTACTTTGGGTGACCAAAACCTGTTTAAGCTCAGAATATATCTAATCTAACCTATTTACAAGAATTTAACAATCTAATCTATTACACCAAAAGTGTGTAATTTCCAAAGTAAAAGTCAAGCAAAACTAATTAAAAACATAAACATAGAAATGGAAATTACGAACGTATCAACTCCCCCACACTTAAACCTTTACTCGTCTCGAGTAAGATCAAATGTTTACAAGTGTCAATGATTGTCCAAAAGTTCCACAGTTCAACAAAAATATAATACAAACACAAAGACCACCAAGGATTACAAAGAAAAATGAGTTTTAAACTCAAATTACAAAAGAGCATCTTGGGTTTAATGGCCTCCTAGTGTTGTCTTCTTTTCTCCTCCTCTCTTCTTCTTTATCTTGAATCTTCATATTCTTCATAAGGATACAATGAGTGCCTGCAAGAACAAACATTTCTCTCATATCTCTCATTTTGCCTAGGAGCCTTTTCAGGTTTTCATCCTAGCACCTCTTTTCATTTTCCATTCTCTCCAACTCACTCATTTTTTTATAAGCCTTTTTTTGCTTAGATTGCCCATTTTGTTGGGTTTTCAACCTAACTAGCATTTATTTTCTTTTGTTTATATTTTTTTTTCTTTAATTTTTTTTTGTGTGTGTAAAAGTTCAAAAGAATTACATGCATAGTGCTAGGTACAAATGAGAATTACATACCATCATGAGTGTCTCCCCCGCACTTGAATCACGCACTGTCCCTAGTGCCCGCCTTCTCCTCCGTAGTAGCTCCCTCCAAAGCCGCTCCTTTGGCCACCATCTCCCATGTAAGTGTCCCCGCCATCTCCGCCGTCGTACCCTCCACCACCGGAGCCAGATCCTCCAAAGTTACCCCAATGAGTGGGGTCATACCATGAGGGTGGTGGAGGAGGGTTCGCCATGGTATGGAAGGATCCCTGCTGTGCCATAAACGAGTACATAGGCCCGTAGAACCTATGTTGGTCTTCCTCATACCGGTGTCTATCGGCCTCCCGGAGCTCCTCCAAACGTTGAAAGCCGGCCCTTTGCTCATCCTCCAATCTTTGAAAACTGGCTCTTTGCTCTTCCTCTAATCGGTTGAGCCGGTTGTCCATTTGAGCTATTCCCGTAAGAAGTTGTTGTTGACCCTCCAGAAGTTGTTGAAAGAAGTCGGGTGGTGGAGGGTTTTGGCTTTGTTCTGGGAAATCATGGCTCATGGTTGGATGGCTATGGAGTTGCTCGTAGGGCTCGTCATCGGGTTGGTTTTGGGGGAGTTCCTGTTCCGGTTCTTGAAGATGTGGTGGGAGGGCGTTTGGGAAGAGGTAATGTTGATCCGGCCTGCCTGTTTTGAAGTGGAGTTGGGGGAGTTCTGGGTTGGGCAAGAGGAAGTATTTGAGGGGTTTGGGGTGGATGTGCCAGTTGTACATATTTTTGGGCCTTTCTTCACCATAAACGGTGTGTGAAAAAGAAGTACAGCCCGAGTGGCCTAGCCAAGATATGTTCATTAAACAGTAGTCGGGTATAGGAGAGTCATCCGTATACCCGAACTTTGTGGCCAAGTGCATAATCACCCCGCCCACTACGATAGCACCCTTTGCCACACTTTCCTTCTTTAGATGAGCCCACATGAGATTACAGAGGTTGAAATCCACGTGGATACGGAATAAGGCAACCGAGATGAGGCATACATCCCCCATCCTTGTATGATGGTTGTTGGGACGTCCAAGCAAGGAGTTGTCAAGGAATTTCAAAAAGAGGCGTAGGACTGGATGTTGGACATGACTAATGTATAGTTGGGAGGAGCTAAATTTGGTCTCCCCGGTCATCTTGGTCCATAGGGTGTGGCCGAAGGCGGTATTGTCGGATATAGACTTTTGGTACGGGACCGGAATACCAAAGTGTTCGGCAAACTCAAGTTTCGTGATGGTGTGATTGTGATTAAACAATCGAAACCTGAGTTTATCATCTCTAAAGTCCTCCTCATTGTTCTCAAAGTGCACCGAGCTTAGGAATTCATAGATAATTTTTTCATTTGAGTTGTATTTCATTTTGAAAATTTTATCCATATGCAACTCATGAAAAAATTTCTTCATTATTGTGTATACTCCTAATTCCTTTAGAGCATCAAGGCATAAAAAGCGGGAAGGTTTGACTTGCCTTTCAATTGTGGACAAGAAGCGTGTGCGTTGTTCGTTGTCCATGAAAAGGATGTCCTCGTAGCCCGGGATGATTGTCCTAGTGCTTGAGCTCTGCCCTTTCTCTTTCCTTGGAGCCATTTGAAGTGATTTTGGCCTTTGAAAACCGAAATTGGAATGGTGGGGGTAGGGTTTTTCGGACCTCTGAAAGTTGGGGGAGAATGGGATTGTTGGGTATGAATGTGTAGAGGAGGATGAGGGGAGTGTTTTGGCGTTGGAATGGGTGGATTTGGTGAAGATTTGGAAGAGATATGGTAGAGAGAACGTGTAAAAATGGGGTTTGGGCGTTTTTTGTTCGAGATAGGGTTGGGAATTTGGGGAAGATGAAGTGTTTTGGGGCTGATTTGGGGTTATAAGACCCGTATACCCGATCGAGTATGTGCTGGTACTCGGTCGGGTATGGCTGGAAAGTGAAGTTTTTGAGCGGCCTGCCTCCTGTACTCGATCGGGTATGGTGGGGTTACCCGGTCGAGTATGCTTAGAAAATGAACTTTTTGAGCAGCCTGTCTCCTGTACCCGGTCGAGTATTCCTCCATACTCGATCGGGTATGTGCTTTTTTTCCATTTTTGAAGCGTGTACTCGGTCGAGTGTGGGAGTCAGTCCCCTTCAATTTTAGCATTTCTAGCAATACCCGACCGGGTGTATAGTGATACCCGATCGGGTATTGCTTATTTTTTCAAATTTTGAATGCTCCCTCGATCGAGTAGTGCCCGGTCCCTTTTCTTTTTGCTTATACCCGACCGAGTATAAGGTTATACTCGATCGGGTATGTCCCCAGATGTTCTAAAACCTGCATTTTTTTTTTCTTCCAAAAACCATGATTAGTGCCCTCCCTCACTGATCTCTCAAATAATTAGAGAAAAAAAAATGAATTCTAAATACTTGAATTAAATATAAAAAAAATGAATTAAACACACTTAAATAAATAAAAAAAAATTAAGATAAATGAATTAAAAATGCATTTTTTTCATTTTTTTTTTCATTTTTTTTTAAAAATGTTTAACACACACACAAGTTAAATGAAAATTGATAAAAATAAAAACTTGGGTTGCCTCCCAAGAAGCGCCTTATTTAACGTCGCGGCACGACGCTATCATTGTTTTCAGTCATTCAAACTTGGATCATGATAGTTTATTTTCTTCACATTTTCACTCTTAGGACTTCCACAGGAGTGCTCAATTTCTCGACTCTCCACTTTGGAATTTTTTCCAGGATCAAATATCCAGATTTTCATTGATTCGTGTGGTGGGAGGAATGGGAAGAAATTATCCTTTAGTATGGTCAACAAAAAGTTTTTCGGCTCCTCAATTTTGAAGAATATTTCAGAAGTGTCATTGTCTTTTTCAAGTTTATGAGTTTTCCTCAAAATTTTCAGAATTGATGGGGGTACCTCAACAGATGACAAGGATAGATATTTAACCTTGAAGCTCAGATTATCCTCTTCTTTGACCAGTTGGAGTTTTGTGTCCTTTTCTTCCTCTACTTCTTCTGGATTCTGGATCTCTTTTTGCATTTCCTCTTCATTTTTCAATGTGATTGCAAAAGTTTGCTGTCTAGGATCACATTCTATTTGAGAGGAAAGTTTTCCCGGATCCCTTGCTTCAAGCCTACTCACGACTCCGGCTATTTGACTTACTTGAGATTCCAAGCTCAAAATGCTAGTCTTGGTCTCATTTTGGAATTGCACCATGTTTTGTTGCATGGTGGTTACGCTGTTAGCAAGAGCCCGAACCATGTCCTCCGTGGACATATTAGATTCGGAGAATGGATCATATCTCATGTGAGGTACATCATCAATCTTGGCATCTTGAGCTTTTGAGTTAAAGATAGATTCCTTTATTAGAGAAGTCAAGAAGGAAATTTGACTCTCTAAGGATGAAGTGTTGGTATCCATATACTCATAACTCATGTAAGCTCAGAAAATAGAAGAGCAAGATTTTTTTTTTTTTTTTTTTTAAATATATCTTTTTTTTCTTGATATGAAAATAAAAGAAAAATTAATTGCCTTTCCCCGGCAACGGCGCCAAATTTGACGTGCACTCGTCGTTAGGTGCACTCAAAATAAATAATCAATACAACACTAATACGTAGTATAGTGTAGTAAGGTTCGTATCCACAGGGAAAGGAATACTTTTCTTTTATATAAATAATAACAAGGGGGGTTTAGATTTGCTTGGTTTAATAACACTAAGATAAACGACCTATGTGAGTTTAATTCAATGAGATGGGGACTTGGTTTTGCTTTTATCCACTTAATGAAATGTTCGTCGATCCCGGTTATATCTTTAACTATCTTCCTCTCGAATACTCAATCGAGGAGTATATCCAGTTCATCGAGGGTAGTTATTAATAACGAGATGCGTTCATTAATAAAACTTACTATCGAGTCAATATAGAACAAGCGCCGTATATTAACTTGATAGTAGCAATAAACTTAAGATGAAAACGATTGAGATTGATAACCTCAACACAAGCGGTTTATTGGTTTAATCAATATAATTAATTCCCCTTGGCATATTAACCATGAGATGCATGCATTAATATTCCAAGTTTGGCCCTTGAAAGAACCGGATTAATAACAAGCGTATTAACCGATTGATTCTAGTAATAATTAATATGAGAAACAATACTAGTTGATACTTTAAGTAATGTTTAAGATATTAACATGAAATATGAATAGGAATTAATCAATACTCAAGGAAGAAAATTAAAATATATGAATCCTACTATGATTAATATCAAGATGTTAACTAATTGTCATCTTAGCAACACTCCCCAATATAATCATAGAGGAAGAAATAGCTATTACTATAACCAATGTCAAGATGTTAACTAATTGTCATCTTAGTAACACTCCCCAACTTTGATATAGAGATAGTATTTTGAAAGAAAGAATTAATATTCAAAGAAGAAGATTAAAGAAAATAACTCACAACTTACAAATTCATTAAGCTTCAAAGTAGCAAAACCAAGATGGAAGAGTTTAGCTCCTCATTTGGAGACTAAACATGATGAAAAATATAAAGAAAGAGCTATTCTATACTGAGCTTAGATGTACAAGGGATTGGATATCTTTTTGTGAAGGAAAGGAGGTGTATTTATAGGTTTTTGGGATGGGATTCGGGTACTCGATCGGGTATATACATGGTACCCGATCGAGTATGTGTGTAACACCCGATCCGAGGCATACTCGACCGGTTCAGGCTATTTTCTAAGTGTATACCCGATCGAGTATATATGAATACCCGGTCGAGTATGCTTAGAAAGTGGTATTCGGGCTATACTCGACCGGTTTCAGGCTAGTTTCTAAGTGTATACCCGATCGAGTATATATGAATACCCGGTCGAGTATGCTTAGAAAGTGGTATTCGGGCTATACTCGACCGATCTTCGTTTGCAATTTAAAGGCATACCCGATCGGGTATGTCGGTCTACCCGATCGGGTATAGACATAGAATCGTGGCCAAAATCTTCCCTGCATGTTCCTTTGTCTTCGGATTTGATCCGATTTGAAGTTCCAACCTAATACCCGATCGAGTATAGCTAATACTCGACCGAGTATAGACCAAACTTCACGATCTTCTTTTGTCTTTGAACTTTTGCACCTTCTCTTCACTTTTTAGGTTCACCAACTGTACTTTGGGTGACCAAAACCTGCTTAAGCTCAGAATATGTCTAATCTAACCTATTTACAAGAATTTAACAATCTAATCTATTACACCAAAAGTGTGTAATTTCCAAAGTAAAAGTCAAGCAAAACTAATTAAAAACATAAACATAGAAATGGAAATTACGAACGTATCAACTCCCCCACACTTAAACCTTTACTCGTCTCGAGTAAGATCAAATGTTTACAAGTGTTAATGTTTGTCCAAAAGTTCCACAGTTCAACAAAAATATAATACAAACACAAAGACCACCAAGGATTACAAAGAAAAATGAGTT